ATTAAGAATTACGAATAAATCCAATGCCAATACATTCGATACATCTATTCCTTCACAATTTCCACGATCCAATAAAAAATATCGAATTATCGTTTTCGATCTGAAGAAAGAAAAAAGGAAAAAAAAAAAAAGAAAGAAAGAAAACGACGAACGGAACACGCGTTTATTTCGCGCGGAAGATGAACCAGCGAACTTTCCACCGATCCTTATTTCCCGTATTTGAAAACTTCTCCACTGTTTTTCAAAGAGCGTTAAACAGCAGGAGCGCCGGTTGACTGAAGTTCCCGGACCCAATTCTTCAGCGGATACAAGAGGATTCCGCCCCGACGATGTCACTCGTAACGGAAACCTCCGCGAAACTTGCCCCTCGTAATTCTCGAATCGAAACTTTTACAGTCATCCAACATCGGACTGATAATTGTTCCCTCTCCATGTACAGTCGGTGTGTATCTTTCGGGGAACTCGCACGAACTTTACGACGATCAAACTCGACCAGGCGGAACGGGTTGTAACCTCGTTTCCTCTTCTCGCCAGACTATATTTTTCTTCGATTTATTAAGTCGGAATATCGATGTTTCACGAACATTTTTTTTTTTTTTTCGAAATTTTGAGAAGAGAGTATAAGAGAAAAACGAAGAAAGGAAAGGAAATTTTCACGATTCGATATCGATCGAAATACGTCATCAACGAATATTATATATTTTTCTTACAAATTTTGGACGAAGGAAAAGAAATAAGTTTGGAAAAAGAGACGAAGGAAATGATTACGATTTCTCTTCCAATTGATAATTAATATCAGAGAAGAAACTTTCTTTTTTCTTCTCAGAAGATTGCTTATATAGTTTTTATCAATTTTGAAGAGGGGATATAAATTTGGAAAAAGGAACCAAGCAGAAAGAAGAATGGTTCGTCTCTTCCTCGTGACTGATTTCGATATTAACGATCCCCTTTTTCCACTCTCGGTTTTTATCTCCTCTTTTTCTCTCTCTCTCTCTTTTTGATTCCACGAAGAATCGAACGAACACCAGGATCGAGCTTCCGTTTCACGAAGTCGTAACTGACCGCAGTTTCCTTTCCACCAACGGGAGAACAAGCGCGGAAGAATTAAGGGGGCGAGGTGACGTCGAGACACAATGGGTTCTCGTTGCGATTCCAAGAGAGAGGGAACTTCATGGAAACCGAGAATTGGTACAACGCGTGTAACGAAGAAAATCCACGATTAATGGAGCGAGGCTCCATGGTAAACGCATAGAGAAATCTTGGAAAATTTATAATATCGTGGATCGAAGGACAACGTTAAGAAGTAAGTGAAAATACCGCTGTAATTTTATCGTCTTTATTTTTTTTAAACGTTTAATCCGACGATTCCATAACAATTCTTTTATCGATATTTCCAAGATATATATATATATAACGTTGATCCTTTTCAAACCATTCCCGTGATCTTGACAAGAATAATTTCCTCGACAAATGTACGATTACTCTTTCGTTCTTACATCGTATTTTTTAATCTCCATTGTGTTGTTCTCCATCCTGTTTTTGATATTTGAAGTATCGATTTGCGTGAAATTGAATTTCTTTCAAACGCAATTTTACGACAACAAGAATTTAAAAACTCTGTGCGAGGAGTACGTTTTTTCGAAACGATTTTATATCGTTTAATTTCTATCGTTCGTTTATTTAAAAAAAAAATTTAATCCCACTATAATGTTTGGTTGCACGATATTTCTTATATAGATATTGTGGAACGCGTGAAATTCAATTTGTTTCGAAGGAGCCGCGTGATTTTAGAACAACAAGTGAACATCCCCGAGGGAAGTATAACCGCTTTCGAAAAACTTGAATCTCTCGTCGGTTTCTGTGGAGGAGAGCAAGAAGGGGGAAAGAAGTTAACAACCAAGATAAAATAAAGAGCGAACGCTTGACGTTACCGAGCGTTGTTAATGTTGTTCCCTTCCTGTTCGACTTTGTTATCCCCGGTTGCTCGGAGCGAGATAGGGACGAGAAATCTCTTTTCCAGTGCGGTAGATTTTTATGAGACGCCTGAGAAGAAAATACAGTTCCTCGTATCAACGACTCTAATTTGATCGCAATAAACGCTTGCGAGGCGGTGGGAAATTTATTCGGACAATAAACGGGGCGGGAGCCTCGGTGAATTCTCAACCGTGTTGCAAGATTTCCAGTAAATTGCCGGAAGATTAATAATCTGAAAAATAGGGCGTACAAGGGAGCGACATTGGAAATTCTTAACATTCTCTCTCTCTCTCTCTCGTCCTCCTTCCTATTCCTTGTCGAGTTGCCTCTCGTCCGTTGAATTATTCGCTTTATTTAGCTACTATCTTGTAAGAATTTTTTAATATTTTTCTTAGATCGTGGTGATTATACGTTTTCTTTTCTTACTTATAGATTCTGATTAAATATAAATTAGCATCGTGTTTCTAATTGAAAATTAGATTAGATTAAAGGTATCGTGAGTAATTCTATCTATGGTCTAAAGATATTTAGATATCTGTTTCTCCTCGAAGTAATTTTATCGGAGAGGTTATTAGACGAAGGGATATAATATTCGATATTTATTACTGTTAACTTGAGCTACTAACATTGTGACAACATTTACGTTTTATCTCGAATAGATAAAAGTAAATAAACCGATGAGATAATTAATCACGATTTATTAAAATCAACCAAAGTTTGTTGTAGAGCGTAATAGCTTATATATATATATATATATATATAAGAATCTTTTTAACTAATCAAATTCGAGATGATTAAATCAAACTTTACAGTTCTCGTTATTCCATTTAAACTTTTTAATGGCAAATGTTCAATGTTTCATTTCCCCGTGTGTTATAAAGATATTTCCAGGCGAAATTGTATTCGAAAGGAATAATGAAAAAATTTAAAGTTTAATTTCACGCATCCAAAGAGATTTTCTATCTAAAAAGTAATTGCTGCACCATCCATTGCTGCGCTCTACGCTCTATAATATATATATAAAATCTCATTAAAATCAAAACTTTCGAGATTAGATGAACTTCCTTTTTAAAAAACGAACGAACGAACGAGTTCTATTTTTTTTTTTTTTTTTTAAGACTTCCATGACGGATCGCGATAGTCCGAAATTTTCCACTTTTTTTTCCCTTCGAAAAAACAAAAAAAAAAAAAAAAGAAGAGAAGAAAAAGTACAACCATCGCGTCGAACCATAGAGAAATACAGGTTAATTAAATTACCATTGGAACCAGCTTTATCCTAGAACAACAATACCCATTTCCAGATATTCCGTCCCAGTTCTAATACCACGGAAATCCCGTTAGCTGTTACGTTCCTGTCCACCCTCCCCACTGCCCCCCCCCCCCATCGACCGCGGAGCATGGGGGAAAAACGATCCGCGGAATTATAACACTTCGCAGCCCGCTCTTGACTTGAATTAAGCCCATTTTTAAAACTCGACCGGGGCTTTTTTTCACCTCCCCCCCCCCTCTCCCTCCTCCCCCATCTCCCGTATCGCGATTTCTTCTACCTAATATTTCAACGGGAATTGCGCCGGCTACGAAGTCCACGGAAATTAGATCTCGACCGTGGCCACTGGCAATTCAACGCGGCATCAACTAAATAATACCCCTCGTAACTTTTTCCACCCTTTCCTCCTCCTCCTGTATCTTTATTCCTCGTTACTACACCCTTTACAACTACGATGTGTGTCGAACTGGAGGGGGGGACGAGGGGATAAATAGGATTCGTTTCGTTTCGAGACGAGGCATCGGGGATCAGGCGAGCGACAGCGAAAGTATGGAATGGGATTGGCGACCCGATTGCCAGAGTTGAGAGATACGTTACGTTTCGGATGGATCGGGACGCGGAATGATTCCGTGGAAATTGCTTCTTTTCTTTTTTTTTTTTCTTTTTCTCTTTCTCTTGTTTTTTTTTTTTTTTTTTTAGGTTAACGATAATTATTTATATCGAGTGTTTACATAGAGGTTAACTTTGAAGCTTGTTGTTGATAATTGCGCGACGTTGTTGTTAATAAATTTTGATTGTTTGGTAAACCCGTGTTATCCTGATAAGTCGTTGCTCTCACTGAAATGGGATACAACTTCCTAGAAGCGGGATACAAATTGCTTAGATATTCAGATTTGTTGGGATACGATTAAATAGCAGCGTTGATCTTTCTTCCTCGTGTAATGGAGTAAAATCTAACTTGAGGTGCTTCCATAAACGAACAGGATATTCCATTCGGGAATAAGAAGGATTTTTATTATTTTATGATATTAAGAAATAATCCTAGCTCGAATTAGAAAGAGTTTTTTTTTTTTACGATGCAGAGGCGTGCAAGTTTGCAGGGGGAAAAATGGAAAGGCCGAAGATGAGACGAGACGGAGTTGAAATTATGCGATAGTTTCAGGCCAGACTAAGGTGATGAGTTCGAGACGAGACAGCGACGATAATATCGGAGGTACATAAAGACAGTTTAAAACGAGACATCACTGTACGTTCACGGTGTTTGTGTCGACGAGTCTGTCAATAAAATGTTGCAGTCTTCTTTGAACATTTCTCATTTATCGTTAAAATTTTACGACGAGATCGTCGTTTATCTCGCGACGAATATAAATACGTAAGAACGGGAAGAATAGAAAAATAATGTACTTTTTCTATAAATTTTATATCCCTATTCTCTACACCTTCGAAATTCTTTCTAGAACGATCATTATTCACTTGGAAGAAACTCGGTTCTGGTTCAATTACTACGTTCGAAAAAGAAACAATCCATAACAAGCTATCCGACGAATTACGAAAACGGTGAAACCATACATCGAACCAGACCACTCGATATCAGACACATCCGAGACGGAAACAGATCCCGAACAAAAATTCTATTTCTCTTTTCTTCGATACTCCCGTGTCTATAAATTTCGATAATTGTTAATCGAAAAGTTAAAAAAAATTTCGAACCACGACGAGAGGTTATTAAAAACGTGTAATATAGAGAAACGTAACTCACATTGCACGTCCAACAGGATGCTCGCGTTCATGGGTATGGTGAGGGTAACGTGGCGAGCGACGCAGGCGATGGTCGCGTTATGGTGACCCCTGAGAACCTTGAGGTGTGCCCCGCTGCGTCTACCGGATGTCGAGGGCAACACGGTCAGATTGTCCGGCGGTTGCTCGGGACCGTCCAAAGTGGCCTGAGACAGCGTCATCCCCCATGCCAAATCGGGTGGCGGGTTTCCACCCTCGGCGGCGCACTCCAACGTCAACTCGGACCCCTCCTTCACAGGGACGAACTGGTTGCCTGGGTCCAACCGACGGCCATCTATCAGCAGGTACGTCCCACGGGGTGCCTCTGCAACGAATCCAACCGATAAGTGACCTCGTAACGATGAAAAATCTTGTCGGATATATTCCGGTTAGCGTCACTGAATTTCGAAAAGAATCACCTTCGCCCGGAAAGTGATAAATAGATTTATGTGGATAAAACGTGTTCCAGCGATATTGTGAATGTATATGTCGTCGGATTGTGTATATTTTGTATTCACAACAACGGATCATTGAACTCGGAGAAGATACTGAGAATTTTGTTGTCAAAACTTAGGCAGAAATTGGGGGAAAGTTATGGAACGTTTTGATAATGTTTAATACAGAGAATGTGAGCCCGTCACCTACATTTTTTCTTGGAAATGTGTACTATTATTACGTCCTTCCGCGTATGTCGTTTGTCTGGAATTTGAGATAGGACGAGGCTGCGAGCGAGAGATTAAACGACAACGAACGATCGAAAATTACCCTTTTCTTCACGAGATGATATCTCGGGTACCGGAAGTCGTATAAAGATAATTCAAAAAGCGTTTTGAGGGGTAAGGTTCCGCGCTTCTAATGATTTTTCACTCGTTGATAAAATATCATTGTCTTTGTTATAGCGGTTTTTGAAATTTCTTGAATTTCAATTCGAATTTTGAGACGAGATACGCAACGAATATGTTTATTTATATGTAAATAAAAGCATCGCTTATAATGATCTCATTAACGATGGACCTTTTGGTTGAATTGAGTTAAACGATTTATGCGAAAACAGATTTGAAATTTCATCTTTAACATATAAAATAAATGCAAATATTAAATTATATAATAATAACTTCATTTTCCACTCGTCCGGGAATAACAACAATTATAAATACAAAAAAACATCATCTTTTTCCAATAAAGATATATATAGAATCGATACAGAATTTTTATATATGGTTTACAAAAACATAATGTTTTTAAATTAACCTCGCAACGGATAGTTAATATTTTCAATGGAAAATCACGAATGGTGGATAATCAAGCAATTTTCCGAACGACTAATATTCACAACCGGAATAATTTCGATCGCGTGTTTTTCGCGGTGTTGATAAGCCGTTAGGAAAACTGAAAACAAGAAAATGTAAATTTATTGGGAATGGCGCGAGGGGGAATAAGAGGGGTAATAAGAATCATGTTTTCCATCCAAATTGATCGTGTTTATGTAGTCGAAGGGTGTGCCAAGCGTTTCAACGAGATTTCCACCCGAGTTTCCAGAGTTTCGTTCCTCCCCAGCCCGATAAGATCCAGTCACGTTCATTAAATCCCTTCCCGTGCTCTCGATCTTGCCAAAAAATTGGGCGCGCGGGACGGGCAAATGGATTATGGAAAAGGAAAACGCGTGCACAGATTTTTCGGGGCCATCAGAAATTGCGATCTCTGACACGTGTCCCGATTTCACGTAATAAAATACACCCGCTCGCCGGGAATACTAACGCGATATTTCCCACATCGCATTCGAGCGACGGTACACCACGTCCACCGTCTATCGCGATTCCCTTTCACAATTGTTTTTTATCATCCTTGTTTCCTTGGTAAATAAAATCGGATATTGGCAGAGTTATATCGGCCGTTGTTGGAGAATCGTGGTGGTGGATTAACCCCGATCGATATAATAAAACTGGAACCGTATTATAATTTTATTTTATTTCGAGTTACGAATTATATCGAATACGGGTGTTAGATACGAGTTTAAACCCACCGAAACACCAATTTGAATACATCGATTTATAAATATCGGATATTTAAAATAACGTGAATTTGTTTGGGGAGGGTAATAACAACGAACATTTTTTTTTTTTTATTCGAGAAAGTTTAAAGAGAAAAAAGTCTTGTATATTACATCTTTGTATTTCTCAAATTTTAAACCTTCATATTTAACGAGCATTCAAATCTTCGTTCGTTCATCTTTTAAATTTCTCATAAAACTCGAATAATAAGAAAAATAATTGTAAAAACCGGTATATACAGGATCGAAGAGAATGAAATGGAGAATGATGGATATATTTATCGGTCGATTCGTCAAATTCGACGAATAAGATCGAAAACATATTTCATTCGGATCGGTTGGGGATAAAATATAAAAGATAAAAAGAGAAAGAGAGGAAAAAAAACAGAAGAAGAAGAAGACACAAGTTCAGCGAGCTGTACTTTACGTGTCAGAGATATTTTCCAATTTTTCCGATAGGATGTATTGGGGTTGAAGCGGTTCATTATTCACAGACCCGTAAACTTCAAAAAGGGAATCCAAGCCGAAACAAAAACTTCGACGGGCGCAGCGTAAGAATCCTTGCCATTTCTGGCTTTTCTCGTTCGCGTCCTCTATCCACAATTTCAACGGAATTTTCGCGATGCGATGGTTGAATGTATATATATATATATATATATACGTACGGTGGACATACGAGTGAGGAAGGAGTGAGGAGGGAGGAAGTTTTGCGTTTCATTCGACGAACTGAAAAAGGTGTCCACTCGATAAATCTGCACGCGTAGTTTGAAATTTTATCCTCCCGTTTTCCATGAAAACGCGCCTCTCTCGCTCGCTCGCCGATCCATCCGGTCGAATGCCGGAGCTGCGGCGAAATTAATATAAAATCGGGACGCGAAAAGAGAACAAGTTATTCGGCCGATGATTATGGAAAATACGATATAGTCGTACGAAGATTAATTTGAATCGTGTCACGTACAAATTATTATTATCATTATCGATTTCTACGATACTCGATAATTTTAACGAGTTATTATTGTCGGGAGGTGTCGATGTATTGTAATTTCTTAAGCTGAGGAGTAAATATTGAACGTTTTTTTTTTTTTTTCCATTTATAATTGGCGAATATCTGCGTGGAGATATATATATATATTCGAAATTCGTCGATAATTTCAAATTAATTCTTAAATCCCTCGTCGTTATCGAATCGTGGAGTTTGATTATACGCGTTTTTATATATATATATTTTTTCCATAAACCGTTCGTTTTGAGGACGGGAAGCGGGAAATACACGGAAGACGATGAATAAACGACCCCGTTAATTCGCCGTTGCCTAAGTGAAAAAAGATAGATCGGCCACGGCTCATAACCGGAAGATCGTATCGTCGTATCTGAAAACGGACGTTGGAATCTGAGAAAAATCCAGACACACTTTGCATACACTTTTCGCCTCAATTTTCAGTCTAAAAATCACGGGCTCGCTCCGTTGGAAAGGTTCCAGATCTGTGTAATGCGATCGCGAATCGAGGAGAGGGAAGGATTCGGAAGGAAAAGAGGGTATTCCCCACCGGTGGTTATATAATATATTCCCTGGTGAGCATACGCTTCTTCTTCCAACTTTTCCAACCAACGTTCTTCGCTCTTCTTTAACCAAACTTTTCGAATCGCGAATCGTTTCTTAATTTCATTTACAATTTCTGTGTCCGCGCGCGCTTCGTTCGCTCGGTTTTGTAATTTTGTTGTCCACTAATTACATAGAATCTGTCGATGGTTAAATTAAATCGATCTAAATTTTTACACACGTTTCTTCAATCTCGCCAAAATTCGATTATTATTCGTTCGATTAATAAATAGTTGGAGAATATCGCATAAGAAAAAAAATTGTCTTACAAACAAAATGTATCCTTTCTTTTTGTAAATAATGAATAACCCGTCCAATTTTGCCCAGTTTTCCATCCTATCCCATCTCCCCCATAATCCATTATGAATATTTTTCGCCAATTTTTTTCTCGTCTCGTTTTGAAAATGACGATGGAAGGATTTGATCGAAATGGACGAACGAGCCTCGATAGAATTGCACCTTTCATCGATGGAGGAACAAAAGGGGAAAATAAAAGGAAATTCCTTTTATTCCCCTTCCTCCCCTTCCATATACACTGCGAGGGTGGAAAAATCTCGTTGGTCGAAAGGCGGATGAGAGAATGGGGGAGGGGCGTGAGTATCGCGGGAAAGTGGAATTAACGAACGCAACTACTTTTTTTGCTCGTTAAGTCGAAATCGGCCCGAGGAGAGGACCGATCAATCGTTCGGCTCGCGCATCGCAGATTTTTAACGTAATAAAGTGGAAATAAAGTGGTTTGGAGCTAAACGAAGGCTCGTGTGTGCTCCACTTCGGGTCACTGAATTAATACACCGGGTTTATCCGGTATCGCGTGGTTGAAACTCGTCAAGAGGAAAGGAAAGACCAGCAGCGCACCCCTCCCTCGGATCGGAAAGGGATTTAATCGCGACGCGAATCGAATTATACGAAACCGACGCACGTTTTCGTTTCCATATACGAGGATAACCGTATATTCGTGCTCGATTTTTATTTCCCCTGCAATTCCGCTATGAACAGACGCGGGGAGAGTTTATAAAACACTTGGATCGTTCGCTCGATTATTCGATGGGAGGGGGGTCTAACTCTTCCATGATTACCGTTTTGTTTCGCAAATTCAATCCACCTCGAAACGGTTCTCTACTCGAAAACTTTGGAAACTTTGGTTATGGGTTAAATAATCGTGAGAAGGATATATATATATATATATATATACACACAGGTTCTCGTTGAAAAGATAGTAATAGTGGAAATAAACAGATTGCATGGGGGATGATTGTTTCGGAATTGTTTCTGAATCTACGAGCGATGAATTATAAGATGGTATAAAGAACTGCGTGAAAGTAAAAACAAAGATCTTATTCTTACTTGGATGCGATCAATTTTTATAACAATGCTGTATATATAAATTCAAATTCACTGTTAAATTGTTGAAGGAATGATACACGAATAATGAAACAAGAAGAAAGGAAGTTTATTTTCTATACCTCGATGTGATCACCAAGAATGAATAATAATAAACGTAATAAACAAAATTCATATTATTACAATTTTCGATATTTATGAATATTTTTTTCTTCTTCATTTCCACATCCGGGAAATATTCTTAAAAAGTTGTACACCCGGTTCACAATCCCATGCATACGTAGTAGTAGTTGGTGTCTAGAAGAGAAAGTGTCGGAGTGTCGAGCCAATAATA